CCCCAAAACCCCAAAACCCCAAAACCCCAAAACCCCAAAACCCCGTTTAAAATATTATCAGTTGAATAATAATTACTAAATTTGAATAAGGTAGACTTTTTGCAGCTAAAAATACTTTATGTAGGCTCACATTTGGATTAAAATTCCCTAAACTCCCTTTCTACAAGTCCTATATGAGACTATTAACATAATTTTTAGAAAAATTAGAGAATGGAAAGTATGAATAGAGAATTTTATAACAAAATGGCCAACTCTCATGTAAGACATGCTGTCCAAAGCAGAGGAAAATTAGTGCACAAGTCCAAGAGTTTCCTTGACCAAAAAACTTTGTCAGGGAATAAAAACGATAAGAAAGTTAAATAAATTGGCAAGTAATAAGAATATGAAGCGGTTGCCAGCGAATAGGATCAATAAAGTAAACTTCTCTCTTTAAAAATCTCATGAAGAATTTAGGCTAAATCTTCAAACACAAAAACAATGAAATCCATGATGACTGGGAGTTTTGACAGGAAAAATAATATTGAACACGTGTTGGCAGATCATAAGGTCAAACTTGGAAGCTTCAAGGTGAGAAAGAATAAAGATAATAAGCTTATTTCCTCCAAAGATCATCATTCAAAGCATAAGAAATACATCTCAGAATCCACTATGTATCCTCAGGAAGTCATTACTTCCAAGAAGAAGAATAAGATCAAGGCTGTAGTTGTTACAACTGTGAATTTGACCAGGAATGGGCAGAAGACATTTAAATAAACAGATGATCTCTCCTTGCCCTTCTTCAAAGACATTTGTCAAGGAGAGGAACAGCCTCAATAAATTTTTCAATTCCAATAGGAAGAAGAACAAGCTATTGTTTGACACACAGGATCGAGATTTAGTAAAGGATCCAGCATTGATGAAGGTATCCAAAATTGAATACCAAATCAAAAAGCATTGTTTGAAGAATAAAGTAAATTTTGGGAGTAAATTTGTAGAAATTAGTGAAAACAATGTCTAGCTCAAGTGCTCACAAACAAAACTTCTCACAAAAAGAAAGAGGTGGTCGCTTGAAACCATCCCTTTTTCTGGAGAATATGAAAGATGGAGATAGGCCTACTAGGAATACTTCAAAGACTTCCTACAGGAACAACCCAAGCCGGATAGGTGAACTTGATACCTCCTTTGTTTATGCGGATATTGATCTGGAAGATAAAAAGGAATCAGCGCTTGATGAACGAGGGATTAGCGAGAAAATTACTACAAAATCTTCAAAGACTTATGCAAGTAATTTTCAAAAAGTGGCTGGCAAGAATAAATCTTATGGATGTTCATGTGGTAAGCCAAAGGATCCTACTCTAAATTGATGTAAGAGAGCTGAAGAATGGCTTAAATATGCCTTTAATGGTTCTTCTAAGTCCTTCAGTCAGAAAGATAAGAAGGTTTTCAAAGAACTTGTGGACACCAAAGTGAAGAAGGAATCATGAATAGAGAATGAAAATGATGATCGGATTCCGATCACAGGTATAATTCGCTAATTAAATGAATAGTGTGAATAGAGAATGACTTGAAAAGAACTTTCCCTCATGAAGAGTACTACCAATCTTCTGAGGCAAAAGAGACTCTGTTTAATGTATTGAAAGCATACACTCTTTATGATACAAAGTGAGGATATGTGCAAGGAATGAACTTTATCGCAGCTAGTCTAATCTATCATTCATCTCCAGATATTGCATTCTGGTGTTTAGTATCCCTGATGTTTGATTACAACCTGAGGAACAATTATGAAGTTGGATTCGCAGGGATCGAGGATATTAATAATGAGATCAAGAGATTGCTTGTTCTTAAATGATCGAAATTAAATAAGAGGTTTGAGGAAACTGAGACCGATTTGGGAATATTCTCATTAGAAATGATAATGAGTCTTTTTGGTATAGCTATCCCTCTCTCATGAACAGTAAGTATCCTTGCTCATTACCTAGGGAGAATTTTACGACAACTTCTTCGCAAATGGGTGGAACTTCTTTGTTAGACTAATAATAACCTTCTTAGAGAGTATCCAGCAAACTCTACTACAAGAAGAAGATCCTTGGAAGATTATCAGGCTCATAAAAGCCCATACTTCTTCCCCTTCCAATGTAAGTACCTCTAAATGCAATTCTCACATAAAATATAGGCGCACAGGTTCGATGAACTAGACCCATCACCTATAAACTGGGCTGAACTAATCAGGAAGGCCAGTGAGATGGATTCATAATAAACCTTTATTTTATCCCTTATGAGTAAGGGGTTTTGGGGTTTTGGGGTTTTGGGGG